GCTCAAGTGGTAGAGTGCTAGCCTTGAGCTGAAGAGCTGAGGGACAGTGCCCAGGCCCAGAGTTCAGGCCCCATGACCGGACCCAAAAAAAAAAATAGTTCAGAGTATTGAGCAGAACTTCCCCAAACAGTCCTGCTTTAGGACTTTTGCACTTGATCTTCTCTCTCCTGAAACATCTGGCCCACACTTCATTTACATCTCTGTTAATATGTTATCCGGATAAGCAATGCCCTCTTTATTGCTAACATTACTATTTCCCTTCCTCCTCACTATTTCATGCTCTGCTTTATTTTCCTTCATTCCTTTCTTTTTTATGGTGGTTGTTTTTGTTTTTATTTTTTAAAGACAAAGTCTCAGTATAATTGATTGGGCTGTCCTCAACTTGGGATCTTTCTGGGTGTGTAGAGTGCTGGGGATTCCAGATGTGTACCACCATGCCTGGTTTCATTTTTCTTTATAGCACTTGACTTATTTGTTTTATATTTATTGTATTGGTGTGTGTGTGTGTGTGTGTGTGTGTGTGTGTGTGTGTGTGTGTGTGTGTCTACTCCCTAGATCAAACTCCTTGGGAACAGAGTTTGTGTATTTTTTCACTCCTGTATCTTCAGCATCTGGAGGACCACAGTAAGTGCTTAAGAAATTACTTTAGTGAATGTACAAAACCACTGGAGCTTCTTATTAAATTATGAACTGAGCTGGGTATCAGTGGCTCATGCCTGTACTCCTTGCTAGTCAGAAGACTGAGACCTGGAGGGTTTCAGTTCAAAGCTAGCCTGGGCAGAAAAATCTATGAGACTTCATCCCCAATAAACTAGCAAAATGCTAGACTGGAGGTATGGCTCAAGTGGTAGGGTACCAGCAATGAGCAAGAAAGCTTAATACTTTGAGTGAGAGCTTAATACTTTGAGTTCAAACCCTAGTACCAGAGGAAGAAAAAGTTCCTACACAGGGCCATCTATCTGGGAGTACAGTCTAAGATGAATTGGGGAGCCCTCCAGTTCTTTAACCTTATAATTCTATGCAGAAGGACTTTAGCTAAACATTTCTGGCTTCTTCCATTACGTCACCTCTATGTCCTCAAAGAAAATAGGGTGACTTACCTAATTGTAGAAAAGAAATGCAGTATTCCTGGTTCAGCAGCAACCCCTCCCCCCCTAATATTTTTGTTGGATCTGGCTATCTGCATGAAGGCTTCATTCCAAGTTGTGCATACACATAGGCAGACTAAAAGTTCTAAGAGAAACATGTTCAAAGAGAGCTGTGAGACCACAAGAGGGGTACCTAATCTAGCCTAGGACTATGAAACACAATGATTGGAGGAGCTCACTTCTAAGTGTTCACAAATCAGCAGACTGTACCAGTTGGCGCACTGAGGTGGTATGGATTCTATCTTTCATGCTTATAATTTCCAGTGGCATTTCTCCTCAGCCCTCACAAAAGTGAGTTACTCATTACTAACATTTATTTAAGGGCCTGCTACTTGGCAGGCTCTGTGCTGAGGATTTAAAAATGACCAAGTAAGGTATAATGGAGAAGACATAAAGAAATACATACAAGACCAGGGAGATGGGGGTGGTTCAGTGGTGGAGTGTGTGCTTAACGTTATGCATGAGTCCCGAGTTCATTTTTTAGGAAAAAGAAAGAAAAAAAAACACAATAAAACAATAAGAAAGCACAGAAGAGCAGTCAATAAAGGCAGATCAGGAAGAGATTTTTAAGAGTACGTGAAGTTATTTATAGTTATTTATAGATGAATATGTATTACTTAGCCAGGAGAATAATCAAGGCACAGATGACATTCTGTGCAAAGCAGCTGAGAAGCAAAACAGGCTGTGGCGAAAATCACCCAACAGTTTAGCCAGGCTGATACACGGGATAGAAGAGGGTGTGGGGCATGCAAGACTCACTGGTCTGGCTTTTATCCTGGGGAACTATTGAAGGGATTTAAGGAGGAGAATGACAGGCTCACAAGTGCCTTTTGGAAAGGTTTTTCTGGTGGCTTTGAGGCTAGAGAGAAGAGGCTCTGTTTCAGCGAGTCAAGTCGTGTGTCTGGTTGGAGAAAGGGAGTCATTGTTTGAACAAGGGTTTAGAGGTGAAAGGACCAGACATGATGGCCTATTGGATGGGCTGGGGTGGAGGGGGAGGCGCTAAAGTGTCCTGGTTGGGGACCAGATCACTGATGTGCGCAGTGAGAAGGGGCTGTTTGAAGTGAGCATGTTTGACTCCGGGGCCGTGCAGGAAACAGCTGAAGTTGCAGATGTAGACTTGGCATGGCGTCCAGTGACCCTAGGATGCGGCCTCTAAACCAGGCTCCGGGGCCAGGCCGGGCCCCTGCCCTTCTCCTCCTTGGCAGGGACCGTACCTGTAGTGCACGGGAAACTGCCACCTCAGCAGCAGCAGGCCCAGGAGGGCACTGAGGCCCAGCACCAGGAGCAGAGCCGTCACCAAGGAGATCCAGGCTAGGGGACAAAAATCGTTTGACCTTGGCTGCTCCCCCCTCCCCCTCCCGGCCCCGCCCGGGTCACCCGGGGAGCTGCGCCCCGTCCGCCCCGCCTCACCGCTCTCCGAGGCCGTCTCCACCCTCGTAGGGTCAGACCAAGCGCTCCACGGGCCCCGGTAGGTGGGACCGTGGAGCCGGGCGCGCAGCTGTAGGCTGTAGCGGGATCGGGGTCGCAGCTCCAGGCTTCCTCCCCGGGCCCCTAGAGGCGGCTCCAGCACCTGCACGGGGAAGCCAGCGGTGGGCAGGGCTCAGGCCTCGAGCGGGCCTCAAGGGCTCTGCTCCAGTTGGACCAAAATCCCACCGCGTCAAATCCCCAGGAAGGCTGGGATCTCCACCAAAGGCCTGACTGCCTGCAAAACGCTCTTCCTCCCTTAGCACCCGGGTGCAGAACCTGGACCTCTCCCCTGTTGCCGGAGAAGCCCACCAGACAGAGTACACATCCTTTACTCAGACCTGACCTTCCCAGAGCCACGCCGCTGGACACATGTGGGGAACCCCCCCCCAACCCGCACAGAGATCTCTGACAAGGAGATGCGGCCCTAATTGGGCCCTGGCCACCCAGAGACACACCCAAGTGGGAGACGTATTAACTTAACGGCTTAGGAAGTTAAGAATTGCTCAGAATATGCAAACATTGTGCTTGGCACTGGAGGCAAAGATAAATGACCCACAGTCTCACGTATCTAATGAGGCAGCCAAACAAAGAATCACAACTAATTAGTACAAAGCACCATGGTAACCCAAAGAAACATTCAATGCTGCCTGAGCTGCTTGGTTGGGGATTAAAGTTCAGTATGCTAAGGCCACAGATGGGAAAGTTGGATGGTCAAAGAGAAAGCTAAGGTAGTAGTAGTAAGGATTTGAAGAATTAGTATGTTATTTAATTTACTTGTTGATTAATAGGAAGGAAAGAGAAAGGAAAAGACTATATGATTCCAGGCTTTGTTACACAATAAGTAGTGGCAATGTCAGAGACAGGAAGCAGGAGCAGCTTGAAGAAGTGCTGTAGGTTCTAGTTCATACAGTTTAACAGTTACTGGGTTTAGTGGGTTCCATTTGTAGTTCCAGCACTCAGGATGCTGAGGCAGGAGAATCCTGAGTTACAGACCAGCAGAGACTACATAGTGAAACTCTGTCTCAAAAAAGCAAAAAGTTTACAGCCAAACCAATTAATGGTAATGTCAGATAGTGATTCCTCTTTGGTGGTAAGGTGAATAGGGGACAAAAGTAGTTTATGGGATGCTGGAAACAATTAGTATCTTGGTCTTGGTAATGGACACATAGCTGTATATATGTAAAAATAATTCAACATTTAAGGTTTGTACACTTCATTGTATGTGAGCTAAATCTTAGTACATTAGAGGAGGCAGATGAGTTTAGTTTTGAATACAATGAATTTGAACTGTGTGAGATAGGGTGGTTGTTTTAGGTACAGCTTTCTGGTAAGAAGTGTGTATCTCTCTCTATGCATATATATAAAGTAGGCAGAGAAATAACATTAGTGTATTAGTGTATTAGAGCACCTTCTGTATGACAAGCACTATGCTAGGTATTTACTTGTTTATTTTCTAAGTCTATATAGTAGATGGCATTATTCACATTTTACCAACAAGGAAGTACAGACTTTGAAAATTGAGGTAATTTGCCTATGTTTCTTAACCTCTTTTCAGAGTGGGAGTTAGGCTAGCCATGGTGGCTCATACCTATAGTCCTAGTTGGGAAGCAGAGATAAGGAAAATCAAGGGTCCTCCAGCTAGCCTGGCAAAAAAGTCAGAGAGACTGCATCTTACCCAATAAAAGGCCAGAGCAGTGGTGTTTACCTATCACCACATTTATGCAGCAAGTGTAAGTAGGAGGATTGCCCTAGGCTTGCTGGGCATAAATATAAGACTATATAGAAGCAACAAAGATACTGAGGCATGATTAATTGGTAGAGTATCTGCCTAGCAAGCAGGACCCTTACTTAAAACCCCAGTACCACAACAGGGAAAAAAGTGTGTGTGTGTGTGTGTGTGTGTGTGTGTGTGTGTTAGAATGGTAAAACTGGGATTATTAGAATATAGATATTGTAACCATCGGACTGAAGCACTCACCTAGAGAGATGTATATGTTTACATAGGGGCAAAGTATCTAGCATGAGACTCTAGGAAACAGCAGCTATTATGAAAGACTGGAGCCAGAATAGGAGAGTGAGAAAATTCAGTCAGAGATAATGAGAAAATAAAATGAGCCTGATATTCCAAAGACAAATAGAAAAGAACATTTGAATCAGGGGAACCAGCAGTGTCACAGGCCCAAGAGCAGCTACAGCTGAATCAGATTAACATAGATGTACAAGCCTGACCATAGATAGAGGAACACAGTATAGACGTGGAAGACCTTAGGAATGGTATGTGCAGTAGTCTGTGGATATTTATTATTCTATTGTACCTTCCAGTTCTGATGGCCTTCTCCCGTGTATCGAAGTTGATAGCAGGTCTCTTGGGCTGCCCAGGAGGATGGGTGCTGCCACTCCAACTCCAGCTGCCCGCTGGACACCTCCTTCCAGTGCAAGCTTGGGGTGGGGAGGAGTACTACAGGGAATTCAGCAGGGCCTGGATTAAGCCCTTTTGTGCATGAGGCATGGGTCAGAAGGGTTAAGAGGAATCACATACATACAGTTGGTGGGAGTGAGAACAGTGTGGGAGGAATAGGGAAGATCTTACCAGCCTGGTGGATCCAGAAAGGGGATCTTAGGTAGCTGTGAACAGCACCCTGGGCTGTGGTCACCTCTACAAGCACGTGAATAACACTGTCATTCCGTGACCTGAAGTGGCAGCGAGAGAGCTGAGGAGGCTGTAATCCTGGATTTGGTTTTGCCCCTTCTTCACACTTCTCCCAGACAGGGTCCCTGAGAAGCAGCCCAATATGGTGATTGCAGCAGGCCTGTCCAAAAGAATCACCTCTATCCTCCCCATCTCACAGAAACTACGGCCCATGTGGATTGCAAATCTAACTCCTCCCTTGAGTGGGCCTCTGTCGTACACCAGGAGGCCCTGCCTCTTCCCCTTGAGCTGATATGATATTTCAAAATAGCTCAGTCTATAGACTTCAGGTCTTGGCTCACCAGAGTATAACTTTGGGCAAATTATTTGATGTGCCTAGCAGGTACAAGGCCCTGAGTTCAAGCTCCAGGACTGCCTTCCCCTCAAAACAACAACAACAACAAAAAACCCCACCAAACACACACACACACACACCCCAAAAATAAAATCCAAAACAAAACTCCACTCTAGTTTCTTCCTGTTTATAAAATAGGCTAATACCTACTTCACAGAATTACTTTGAAGAGTAAAGATCTTTCATCTTTCTAGAGGGGAAACATCTGTATATTTTTTAATTGTTATCATACAGATACCCTCCATTGGGTATTTTGCATTAGATTATTACAACAGCTTCCTAAATGACCTTTTGCCTCCATTTCTACCACTGCTTTCAGTTTATTCTCCACATAGCTACTAGAATATACTTCAGATATCAATGTCCAGAGTATATCATAAATCTATTTATTTTTATCTTTTCAAGATGAAATTACCATTGTTTCTTGTCTAGATTAAAGCAAATTTTTAACTGGTAGCCTTCTACTCTTATTTTTCTTACAGAGAAATACTCTCCTTTTTGTTACTTCTACATTTTGTTTTTGGTCGGTTGTGGGAATTGAACTCTGTCCCTCAGCTCTTCAGCTCAAGGCTAGTGTTCTACCTCTTGAGCCACAGTGCCACTTCTGGTTTTCTG